AGTATAATTTATGATTTAAATTAAGAGCATTAGGGTCTATAATGGTACAATTAGTGAGCGGACTGCCTTTTTGGTCTGGTAGTCATTAACGCGACTGATTATCTTGAGGTGGGGTCGGGTCAAAATCAATTATTGGGTTTTCTTAATAGCAGCCCGGAGTCAGAAAGTTGGCCGTGTTACACCCCCGTGCCTCGGAACCTCGTGCTCTTAAAGACGTCTTGTACCTTAGCTCTCTCTGATCGTGTCAGATTACCGTCCCATTGGAATGTGAGAGTGAGGGAATAGAGTGAACTTGCGCTTGCGTACATACACTCAGGCACTATAATCCTATCCTGGGGACATGTCTAGTCTCCATTGAGACTGCCGTGACTGAAGTTCGGTCTAGAGGACATTATTATTAATTATTATGTAAATAAATACTTAATTATTATCTAAAGCACTACCTACAGTAAACACAGTAAGTATATTATTGTATTCGGATGAATTAACTTCATTCACTTTAACATCTAAACTATATTGTTGTCATAATTACAATTACTGCGCTAGTATTCAGATTGTAATTACGGTTGCTGTGCAAACAATTAACACTGATAACGGACAGGTCCGACGCTTTACCAAATTCCAGTCTGGCGTGGCTTGTTGCTTTACATGACGGACTCTTTATGTTGTATTACGGATTCAGCCTGCTTACTATTCATTGACTAAAGTGTTCAGTACAGACAGTATTGAGTTATGGACGACTAATTTAATGTGATGAAATATTTAGATTGAAGTGTTCTTTTTACCAGACTGTGCGCACATAATGTGTTTATCAGGCTACATATTACCACAGAACACAATTAATTTCTACCGAGAGAAGAACGCCATCTCCGAACTAAAAAATGAAACCCACGTCCAAAGAGAATATAATCACTACGTTTAATAGGCGTGACTTCCATAGTACAAGTAAATATTTGAAAGGACACTAAGCTACTCTACCAACATCAAAACCTAATAATATATAATTATCAAGATCTAATATTGCTTTCGCATTGTGTATGACCGATCGAGCAAGATAAGACAATTAGAGATTGTGATCTCCTATTTCCCTGTCTCTTTCCCCAGATTGGGCACATTTTATTTTCTAGAAGAAGTAAGAAAGATTGTGGCTATGTTTGTTATTTATGCTGTATGTTTTTCTTATATTTTTTATGTTCGTTAAATTCTTTACTTGATGTCTGATAATTGGGGTATAACAGAACAGTTTTAATATTCATAAGAAAAAGTAAAATTTCCTAATAACTATTCCTGGAATCAGACAGTTATCAGGTCGTCACTCCAACAAGTGGGGGGTCGCCTTACACTTCGCCTACCGGTACGAGGCTGCCACTCGAGAACTTTTCTTCCCCATCCGTTGTCGGTTCTTCGAGCTATATGGCCGGCCCACTGCCACTTCAGCTTACTAATCCGTTGGGCTATGTCGGTAACTCTGGTTCTACAGCGGATATCCTCATTTCTAAGTTTATCATGCAGAGCAACTCCGAGCATAGCCCTCTCCATAGCTCGCTGAGCGACCTTGAGCGTCCTCGTACGGCCAGCAGTGAAGGATCACGTCTCAGGTCCATAAGTCATCATTGGCAACATGCACTGGTTGCACAATCTCGCTTTCAGGTTGTGAGATATACCTGACGAGAAGATGTATCGTAGTTTCCCGAACGCTGCCCAGCCGTGTTGAATCCGTCGATTGACCTCTCGATCGAAGTTGGACTTACCTAGTCGGACTATTTGTCCCAGGTAAACATACTCGTCAACATCTTCGAGCTCAGTGCTCCCAGCATCTACCAATATAGGTGTGACATAGACATTAAACATGATCTTCGATTTATCCATGTTCATCTTAAGACCTATCCGTTGGGAGACACTATTGAGGTCATTGAGCATAGTGCTTAGGTCCTCCAGCGATTCTGCCATAAGGACTATATCGTCGGCAAATCGAAGGTGAGTGATGTACTCGCCATTGATTTTAATACCGTATCCTTTCCAGTCCAGTAGATTGAAAACGTCTTCCAATGCAGCGGTGAAGAGTTTCAAGGTTATAACGTCATCCTGTCTTACACCTCTCTGCAGTTGGATAGGTTTCGTACTCTGATAGCCATCGTAGCCCTACTGTACAAACACTTCAGCACTTCGGTATACCGACAGTCACCTTGGCACCGCTGAAGGGACGGCAGCACCGCCCAAATTTCGACGGAATCAAAGGCTTTCTCATCATAGTCCACATACGCAAGGCAAAGTGGCAGATTGTACTCTTCTGTCTTCTATAGAATTTGCGGAAGGGTGTGTATGTGGTCTATGGTACTAAAGCCTTTTCGGAAACCGGCTTGTTCGGGAGGCTGGAAGACGTCGAGTCTGTGTGCGAGACGATTCATAATGACTCTCGAAAACAGCACATAAACGCGGCGGGAAATCGGTCTGCAGTTCTTCAAGAGAGCGTTATCGCCTTTGTTGAAGAACAAGACCACCGCACTTCTGTTCCACGCCTCCGCAGTAGTGCCACTATGAAAGACGGAATTAAGGAGCTTCTGAAAGATTTCAAGTACCAGTTTTCCACCCGATTTCAGAAGCTGCGCTGTAATTACATCCAAAATATGAGCGTTTGTAGTCAAAATATAGACTAAAGATAATTGGATTGTTTTAAAGTTCAGGCTTTAACTAGCCTGAATGACCTTGACGAAACGGCGATCGCAGAGATTTTAGCCGACGTCAACACCGTCTGGCAACTACGTTCTGTATTACTTATAAAAGTGCAAAGATCAATAGACTGCAGAGATGACAATTATATAAGTGACATACTGCCTGTTATGCTTGCGCATCACTGAGTATTATGTCGCGGTTCGCATCTTCAATTACATTGTGCTGTAGCTTTGTCCGGTAGGCGTCACGAGCTATCAAGTGTTCAAGTTTCAAGTACGTAAGAGTTTTGTTATTATATATGTTAAATCGCATTTAATTGTGTCATATTAGTAGATCTGGGTCAAAGCGTTCGCTGTTAATTTTTCCCGGGTTTGATCCCCGACAGCACGAATGAAATTTATAATTGCAATTTTGTAATTTTTAAAAACCCTCTCAGAAATAAAAAAAGAGTCCTGTGCCCAGTAGAGGGATTTGTATAGTCTATTACTTTACTTTGTAGCAATATTTATATTCGTTTCAGATACAGAAGGGTACCTTATGCTGACAAAAATATCATGTGGAGGCGACGAAAACGTTAAACATCTTTGTACCTAGATAAAACGTTCGAAAGATTGTCAGTCATGTTATACGCCACATTTTCTAACGAGCGTAGAACATTGCAGATAGGGCAAAATAAAATATAATCGAAAATATTATGGGAACTATTTATTAATAATATATACATTTATAGGTATTTATAATAAAAATAATGAACAAGCTGCAAGGTTCAACTAATAGTGTTTCTTGTAAACACAATTGTAAAATTCCTGTTTTAATTTTTACCAATGATTAATTGATGAAACGCAGTCAAGATCACTTCATATAAAATATATTTAATTAAAATTGACACATGACCTATTTGGCCTTCTACTTATAACTCGGCGGAAATTTGAAAAGAAGATTTTGTCTTTTCACACAAGTATTGTTTACAACTACCCTTTCCGATCGGCTCGATTCATTGGCACTGCGAAGAGATGTTGCATCCCTTTGCATTTTCTTTCGCATCTACCATGGGGAGTGCTCTGAGGAATTGTTCGGATTAATCCCAACCGCCAAATTTCACGAACGCACATCGCGGCAGAACTCCCGATACCATCCACACCATCTGGATGATTGGCGGTCCACCACTGTGTGATTTAGAAGATGTTTTCTTCCTCGCACGACCTCCTTGTGGAATCGATTACCATCAGCGATTTTTCCGGACCGATACGACTTAGGGACCTTCAAGAAAAGAGCGTACTCCTTTTTAAAAGGCCGGCAACGCATCTGCGATTCCCCTGATGTTGCAGTTGTTCATGGGCGGCGGTAGTCACTTACCATCAGGTGAGCCGCATGCTCGTTTGCCCACTCTCCTATAAAAAAAAAAAACTGGCGTGGTCTCGAAAAGCGTGATTAAGTGTCAGCGATATACTGGGTGGCGCCCAGGTTATCACGTTAAATAGCACAACAGTTAATACAAGTTGATATATGTCTGTTAAAATAATAAAATAAACAATAATAAAAACTAATAAAAAATGCATCTTTCACAAAAAATAAATAGGGTAAAAAATCACATAAAATAAATCATCCTTGATAATATTACTTAACTGACCTGAAATGACTTGTAGAAGCGGCAACGTCGCGGCCAGCGGTTCATTGCTCATGCGACATCGATATAGGTAATTATATTATAATACCTAGGTCCTAGGACTTGCCCATACATAGGTAATTAGGCACGCGTAGGGCGATGCTAATCCGATGTTATCAACAAATCACAAATTTCATGGTATTTTTTAATCCAAATAATCACTTTAACCTTGAAATCACTCAAGTTTATGAAACAAATCAAATTTTTAAATTTTCAAAATGTCCGCCGTCTACCCGAATGCATAATTGACATCGACGCATGATATTATTTCGGACTTTTCGAAAGAGGGCACCATTGGCTGCAAAATTTTTTATTTTGTCGAAAGCCCGCATTATTCTTATTTTTAAGTCCTCGACAGTCGTTACTTCAGTAGAGTACACCTCATTTTTTATGTAACCCCATAAAAAGAAATCTAACGGTGTTAGATCCGGAGACCGTGCTGGCCACCGAGAAGGTCCGTATCTGCCAATCCAGTTCTCTCCGAACATCTCAGTGAGGCGCTGCCTGGCAGCCACCACTGAATGAGCAGGTGCTCCATCAAGCTGGTACCATAACCGGCTATTGGCCCCCAACGATAGTCCATCAACGTAATCCGCCACTGTGTCGTCAAGCAGTTCCAAAAATTTAGGCCCATTAAGGTTGCCTTCGATAAACACGGGACCAATTATTTGATCTCCGTGTATTCCATCCCAAACATTAACGGCAAATCTATATTGGTGCATAGACTCTCGACACAGTTGCGGATTTTCTTGACTCCAGTATCGTAAGTTCTGCCGATTCCATATTCCGTTACGCATGAATGTGCTCTCGTCAGTCCACATTACGTTTGCTAAAAAGTTAGAGTCATTAGCTACTTTGCTCAGGAGCCATTCACAGTAGGCTTCCCTAACTGGCTTATCTCTATCTAATAAAGCCTGTACCTTTACGTATTTGAACGGCCGTTGCTTGTTTTTTTTTAATATTCTGTGAACAGACTTGTGGTGTACACAGAATTGGCGAGCTGCTCTACGGAGACTTGATGTTGGATTACGAGCGAAATAATTTAATATTTGTTCTTCCTGAGCCACGGCGACTCGCGGAGGAATTTCAACCTGACGTGGAATCAAATTTTCGCCGTCACGTAATCTTTGGACTGCCCGTATAAAAATCCGTGAGTCTGTAGGACATACACGTGTGGTATTATACCTCTCTCGGTATGTTCGTAATGCCAGGGACGCGTTTTGGTGGCATTCTCCATCAATTAAAACCATATCGGTGTATTCCAATGACCTAAAATTGATACGAGGCATTTTAAAATAAAAAAAGTTATACGTTTAAAAAAATAAAAGCGTCCAATTGCGCACGGGCTGACACACCACTAATTTATTAAATATCACTTATCTATTATTAACGAGTCCTATCACAAATAAAAAATACAAGACAGTAAAAGAAAGCGTCAAATTTCGCACAAATAGTCACACCACCTCCTCAACACAATTATTATTATAGTATTAACGTGTCCTATCACAAACAAATCAAGAAACTTATGAAAATATCCACAAAAAAAAAACTTTAAATTAAAAGGACGTGTACGCGAAAAACTAAAATTAGGTCAAGCGATTAATGAACCGTTCCCAAGGACGCCGGCGTCGGACTAAGTGACTTACTGTCTTACTTTATCGTCGCACGCGCCAATCGACCACATCCCACCCTCCCAACACCCCGTCCCAATTCTTGTCGCATCGCGCATAAGAATTATGCCTTATTTTGTTACATATAAGTACATTTTTTGCTTAATTTATTACTTTATTTGATTATTTAAAATTGGCAACGTTGCACTATAATACAATATAGGTCTCTTGGCCTTCACGGGCCATGGGTCTTTGAACTTCTAGTATTTATCAGGTGATATCTGATGCATTTACATGATGTTGTTTAATATTAAAACAAAAAAAAGGCTACCGCGCCCAGAATGTTAATTGTTATATATTTTTTTAGTTGTGTATGTTTAAAGAACTTTGTATAGAATACGTCTTTTCATTTAACGTGATAACTTCATCGTCACTTTGTATAATTAATTAAATACTGAACTTTTTAGAAATTTATTTTTTTGTTTATTTTTGTTATATCTTCTTAAAAACTGACGCTATCTCACTATTTTATTATTTGTTTTTTTTTGTAACGCATAAGGATAAGTTAGACTAAGTTAGATTAACTTGGATAAGTTTATAATTTTTTTAATTTTATCACAAAAATTCCCCTAATAAATTATTACCTTTTCTACAGTGATTCTCTCCTCTTAGTTTCGGCGTGACTGTAGGATGTTATACTGATTCACCGTCAGTAACTAAGCGGCCATAAATCATTATATGTATGTATAGACATACATATATACATTTTTTATTTTAATATTTATGTTTTTTTGAATTTTGATTGATTTTTTGAAACCTGGTAAAATTATTTTTTTTCCATACCAATTGATGGGCCTGAGTATAATGCCAGTTATGCTCTTTGGCTGAAGTTATTTTTTTTTATTTTAAGCTCAATTGCAGACAAAACGATATTGGTTGCGCATTTCTAAAACAAAATTTTACCTCTTCTCCTTCTAATAATAACTCCTGCACCTAACACGACGGAATAGTTATTATAAGACCATTTGCAGAAAGAGGTTTTGTTAACAGTTATGAGTGTAACATTTTATCAGCTGCTTTGTTTATAGTGCCTTGAGCAACACTTTGCCGGTTTCTGTACAGAAAATGATGCTGGCTTTGCAAATATGGATGGCCGCTACCATTGAATATAATACCCGCTTTGTTACACTTATTTACATAGAAACTTTAATTATCATTTGCATAAAATTCGAAATAGCACTTTTTACACAAGAAAGTAAACTTTTAGATCAGTCCATCTTGTTTTTCACTAATTAAGTGAAAAGTTAAATAAACCAATAGGTCCGTGATTAATAATTTCTTGCAACTTTTTATGCAAAAGCATGAACTTATCATAATATAGTCAATCATTTAGCCATGTGATAAGTACTTTTAAGTGTGCCAGTCAAACATTAATGATGATATTCGGGTCATTATACTGGAAATAGTCTTTTAAATATTTTGTAGTACAATTGATAATCTTCAGTATGATTGACCGTGTATATGACTTTTATGTTATTGTTATGTTATTTATTATGTTATTACTTTTTATGTTATTTATTGTTATGTTATTTATACTTCTATGTTATTTTTGATGAAAATTAGTATTGCAGATAAAAGCCCTTTCACGTTTATTTTAGTTTCGAATTAAATTAATCGAAATGAAAATAAGAACTTTGGCTCTTTATAACTGATCTTTAAATGTAAAACACTGACTTGAAATTATATAATTATCGGCATTTTTTTAAATCGTTGAACTTTTTTAAGATTGTGTTGAAACTCTACTGGTAAAAAAAAACAACCATATATATATATATATATATATATATATTATATTTCTTGATGAAAATAAAGTATGCGCATCCCATCAAGAACTTCTAATGTAATTTTTGGTGTAAAGCTAAGACGTGATAATAACTGTAAACAAAAGAATAACAAAATAATGAAAACATTTGAAATACTTACTTATACGAGTATATATTATTTGACCGTAATAAAATAAAACAAGGTAGTCTTCGGCACGAAAGTAAAAATAAATATTTTCGATTATTTTTGCAATATCTAACAGCCGGATCAAGGCGCGATTCTGATTCATCTAAAGATGTTAAATTTCAGCAAGCACTGTCACATTCAATAGGAGTGACAGAAAAACGGTTCTTGATAAAATCTTGATAAAGGGTAAATAAATTATTTAACCTATAAAGTAAAATCACTTTATTAAAAATCAAAATAGCCCAATAGCTTTATTAACATGAGACACATAATTGTACGAGTGCTTACAATACTTAACATTATTTTACTGAAATCTCAGAAAGTCTTTTTTAATAAAATAAGGGTGACAAACGAGCACACAGGCCACCTGATGGTGAGTGGTTGCTACGGTCCATAGACATCTACATCTATTCTCGATTACGTATCAAAATGAGCGTTGTCACCCGTAAGGACTAAGATGTAATGCCTCGTTTCCAGTAAAAAGGTTCTCTGGTTCTCTAAACTCACCATACGAAACACAGCAGGGTTAAACTGCCATTTTGTTATTCTGTGAGAGCGTGGCCCTTCCCTGGTCGGGCCGACCCATTCGTGCTACAACTATACCTACTACTAATATAGCTGCAGCATGGCTCTACCACGTAAGAAAAAATTGACGTTGAAAATTTAAGTATTTTCAGAAGCAACTTTGCAAATATTTTCTATTGAGTGAATTTTTGTGGAATCGTGTTTTGCAAACCGCCACCTGAAATACGTACAATTTTTTTCGATAACGACGTGAAATTACATAACGATCCCCATGCATATCAATGTGGCTCTATTCAGCCTCTTAATATGAAAATACCTCGGGATTCAGAGATTTTAAAAGTTTTCATGCGTAGATAATAGAAGGTATAATATTATATTATTACTGTCCCGTGTGAGATAACCTTTATACTTATATATTCTCATCATATTTTTATGGTTGGTTAGAAAAATTATATCTAAATGCAAACTTTCACAGGTTAACTTTTTTTTACTATTTTTACCCAGCAAGTAGTAAAGCAACTACAATCCCATCAGTAAGTGGTTATGTAGCCAAAGATGGTGAATTGCACTGACTTTACAAAAACCTATACACTCTTGCCTAATAATACTAGGTAAGTATTATTTGCGACCTATTTGTGTGTGTGTGTGTGTGTGTGTGTGTGTGTGTGTATGTGTGAAGAAAAGCGTATAAGAATACGTGAAGAGGAATAAAGGTAGAGTGTTACTTCGCTGACCTGTACGAGGTTGCCACTCGAGAACCTTTCTTCCTATTTTTTATCTCTTTTTCAAGTTATATAGCCAGCCCATTGCCATTTCACCGTAATATTCCGTTGGGCTATATCAGTTACTCTGGTTCTACTGCGAATATCTTCATTTCCAATTTTATCACGTAGAGAAACCCCTCTCCAATTTAAAATTTTTACATTTTTTAGATGATAGTTTGTCTAACTTAAAAAAATACCATAAACCCTAGAATGTCTTTATATAGTTATTTATACTTAGGGAAGCACCTTTTTTATTTTTTTTTTATTTTTTTATTCAAATTTAAATATGTTTGATTTAATTTGATAACAGTGTACCTAAATGTAAGTATCTGTATCTATATTTCCCTCCCCAATAATATTTTATAAAGTCATACTCATTAAAACAGCGTTTTATTGTAATACATAAATTATAAAATTCAATATCAAATAATTAATAAAAATATGCAACAATAAAATTACATAGGTATTAAAAACTATCGAAATCTAAGTAACGAGAGCATGTTCGTCGTTCCACATCTAAATTATATAAAAATGCATTTTTCGATTTCACTAATCAACGTCGCCGCGAAAATTTCTTCTTCTTTGGGCACTTAAAAAATTTATTTATTTAGAAAATAATATTTACAGTTACCAGTGTACAGATATTAACTAAATTAAATATTTCTAGTCATAAAAATATTTATAATTGATAATAAACTTTTAAAAAAGTAATATATATTTGAACGAAGTTGCTCCAACACCGACGCGCAGTCCACCTTCGACGATGTCCGAAAACGGACTGCTTTCAATATATATAAAGGTATTCTGTGCGGACTGCGACAGGGCGACGGAGCATGCGCGCTCGCGTAAATATATTCAATTTCAGGGAAAAATGATATATTCTCTTATAAAACGGGGAATAAGAATAAAACTCTCAATTAAGTATATTAATATTTTTAAGACCTTTTTTTTTAGTGTAAGAGCTATTTAAAAAGCTTGTGCCGTTTTAGAGAAATTTTGCAAAATATGACAAAGATTACTCTAATATGACTAATATGACAAAGGTACTCTTTGGGGAATTTTTTTCTAATAAGTGGTTGACAAAAATACAATTTTGTTCAATTAAAAACATTTACCAAATCCTCTTCTGTTACCCTGTATTTTTTCTTTGTAGTTTAAATGATAAGTTATTGAGATTATTTTACTTAAATATACAAGATTTAGGCATTTCAACCACTGTTAAGGCCATAAAGTAAAAGTATACTTTTAATATACGTCAAATTCAAACAAAGAAAATTGCAATCTTCTTTGTTTACTCAGTTGGTTTTGCTTGAATATGACTCAATGAGGGCTAATAATCTTACTTAATTTACCACTACTTCACAAAATACATAGTTCTGT